ATGAATCATCACATTCTACCTATATCCAAATGCTTTAGTTTTCCTGCTTGGTTATAAGCTGTCCCAGAAACCTTGGTCTCCCTGATCTTTCTTCTCTCATGTATGTTCAAATTCAGCTATCATTAACTGAGAACCTACTATGGGTTTTTTCTGTTTACAGGTGTTATTCAATTATATCTCCAGAGAGCCCTGAGAGGTAGATTATTGTTGTCATTTTGATGAGCTCCCCAAGACTTAAAGAAAATAAGCTACTGCCCCAGTTACTAATCAGTGGTGGACCCCCAAATTACAACCCATGTCTCCAAACTCCAGTGATGGTGTTCTCGTCTCTCGATGGCACTGCCCAAACTTTGGGATGACTGGGAAGTTGGATGGATGGATAGATGGATGAATGGATGGAAGGAAGGATAGATAGATGATAGATAGATAGATAGATAGATAGATGATAGATAGATAGATAGATAGATAGATAGAGATACAGAAACAGAGATACTATTTTTTTTTCATTCCAGGGTCCACCCCGAAACTACTGAATCAGAATCTAGAGATTCTTAGGCAACTAGCCCAGCTGTTTCTGCCAACTGGAATTTATGAGCCCCTGCAGGACACCACATGCAGTTTCGTCTGAAACAAATTCTTCCTTTTAAGCACACAGAATGGGCAGTGACATGAGTAACGCACAGGGAAGAGTGTCTTTGCCTAACACTTTCTCTTCCCCTCATCCCCACAAGTGTCCCTTGCAAAAGCAGGCAATAGAGAATGCCAGAACGCATGTTAGCCACCATTAATCTTTCAGTTTGTTCAGCAAACATTCATATATTCAGGGGCGTGCTGGACCCTGCTTTAGATGAGGAGGCCACTAGAGAAAAGGGTTCAGTGCTGCCTCCATGTAAGAAAAATAATGATGATGGTCTGTAGTTAAGGTACTGTCACTGGGGAAATGTAAAAAGTGTTGTGGGAGCAGAGGGGCCTTGGCAGAAAGAAATCTTTGGGGAATTTCTGTCTGTGTTCTTCAGAATATGGTATGCAGCACAAAAAGAGAACCTGAGTGGGAAAAAAACTCAAGCAAAGGAGAGCGATTTTACAAAAGTCTTTGCATTGACTTTTCTTCATGCCACTTACCCTGGCACAAGACCTTAACTGGATGGAAGAGATTTCACAAAGGTGGTGATAAATCAAGACATGTTTGTTTTATTTTTACATGTGGAATTTTGAGTGATTTGCTGTTCGCCTCCACCCTTTTCCATCCAAAGTCATTTTGATTCTCAAATTTAGCCCTAGGTGAACTGATTGACTCTTCCTCAGATGTCATAAAGTTATCCCACTACAAAGAATGGGACTGATGCCAATAAACCCACCCCTTCTTTTCAGAGGTCCAGGGTGAATCCCTGCGAAGTGGAAATGTTAGGGATGGCACCTCGCAGAATTAGACCGTCAGTCTTCTTGTCACAATTAGGACCCCAACAACTGTCACATTGAAGTTTGTCTCCTCCCACCCTCAGGCTCCTTCTTCCCCCATGCAGGGGCTCATTGCCCCTCCCCAGCCTCCAACTAAGTGGCTGGTGTGTTCCCCATTCACTCCTGACTATGGGGAGAACTCTGCATCCAGAAACATCCTTTTGCCTCACCATCTGACTCTGTAGTTCACCTTGCCTCCTCCGAGAAGCCCTCCACATCGCCACTATTATTTCTCTAAAAGGGCTATCTCATTCCCTTCCAGCCCACCCGCCACCAGAGGCTTCTTTCATCTCCCTGTTTACCATCTTCCATCTGCTCCTTTGCTTGGCATATTATGTCAGCCTCAACCCCAAAGGACATTTGGACTGTGCACATCCCTGCCATTCCCACTGGGCTGCCTGTGAAAACCCATGCTTGTTTGAAAGTTCTCCGTGCTGTTTGTCATGCCACTGTCTCTGCCTCCAGTGACATCTTCCCCATCAACACCAGGAGACCACCTACTGAATTCAAGCCTCCATGACGGAGTCTGTCTTGTTCTAGCTATGCCCCTAGCGTCCAGCTCTACACCTAGCCAATTAGCAGGTGCTCAAGAATATATATGAAAGAAATGCGTGAGCAAGTGAGAGAGCAAGAGAGGAGGAAAGAATCCTTGATGAGCCAGTGCTCATGACGAGGCCTCTCCCAGATGCCCAAGGACAGTGCCACCCTTTTCCCTCTTTGCCCCCACAGCAGTCAGACACCCCTGTGCTGTCACCCTTACCACTCATATGGCACTGGGCACCAGCTCCCCTTGTTGGGCACAGTTTATGCCATATTTCAGTGTCATATGATGACCGCCTAATAATCACTAACAACTTAATTTTAGGGACCCATTTGATCATATATTTTTCCTCATCCCCTCACCTCTTTCTGTAGCCTTGCCTGACTCCCCACCTTTCACCTTATCCTTCTTGTCTTCAGAAGATTTCAGACCTCCTCCCTTTACCCCAGTATTGCTGGCGGAGATGCCTTCCCCTGCACCTTTTCCTCTGCTTGCTTAAATCCTCTACTCCTCACAGCTAACAGAAACTATCCCCCTGTCCCTCCTCATCATACAGGAACATTCCTCTTGTGGCTCTCAGGTCACTTTCAGGTCTCTTTAATAATGATAATGATAATCATCATGGCTACCATTTTTTGAGTACCAGAATGAATCACAGGTGCTTTATGTAGCACATAAATATAGACATTTCTGTAATCTTCCACACACCGTTCACAAAGACAAGAAACTGAGGCACAACCAAGTTAAATACCTTCCTGAGAGTCAGGCAACTGGTAAATGATAGGGTATTTAAACCAGGCCATTATCCATTCCTTCGTTTATCCATTCATTTCTTCATTGAACAGATAGTTACTGAGTGCCTGTGGGGTATTATTCCCAGACTTGGACACACTTTGGAGGGGCAAACATAACCAGTTCTGCTGTTCAAAGTGAAGGCAGACAAAGGAGGGAAACCAGAAGGGATTACAGACTAACTGACTCAAAATCAAGCAAGGCAGGCAAAGGGGAAGAGCATGGAGAGGAATTTCAGTTTCAGACGAGAGCCCTGAAAGGAGAACAGTTCATAGGGAGTACTTCCCTCCTCCAGGGCTCCTGGTTGAATGAACTCCCTGAATAAGGAATGAATGTTGAGACTTGTTTTATTGGTATTTACAGAAGTAGGTTTTAAAGGATCAGCGATTTGCAGATTCCACTTGGATGCGTCACACCCATCTTTCATTCATCACACCAAAGAGAGCGGGGAAGGTGAAGGCATGGACTTTGAAAGCCTACGTATTGTGAAAGGGGCAGCCTGGGATTCAGTGGATGATTTTTCCAGAAGGAAGGCAACAGTGGTGCCCTGGACAGGTGTTTATCTCTCTCTCCCGTCTTCCGGGCAGTGAGGTCCTTGTCAGTTCACAATTTCAGGCTCTACTCAATCAGGGTTGGTGCTTAGCAAAGATCACCTGCATTTGAAATTACCTTCTTACCTGTAGGTCCTCTTCTTCAGTAGATTGTCAATTCTTCAAAGACAGGGGCTGTTCTATTCATTGTTCCCCTGCTTCTGTGCTCCGTGAGGCACCTAGCACCACACTAATAAGAACTTGTAGGAAACAAGGAAGGGATAGAGGGAGAGAGGAAAAGCAAGGAAGAAGACACAGAAGCAGCAAAAGATGCCTATTTGATATTTTATAAGCTAGTATTAACGGAATGCACTTGCAAGCAAGAGTTCTGTGTTCAAACTCCAGGGCTGTCAGTGTCTGTACATCAATAAGCAGGTTATGCAGACTCTCAGAGCCTCAACTTCTTACTCTGGGAAATGGAAATAATAGTGCCTACTTCATCAGAGTGCTCAGGAAAATAAATAAGGTAATGTGTTGGGCAACATTTTGTAAATTTGCCCAGCTATATACATTAAAATGGTATTGAAAGATGGTGACAAGAATTAAATGCTCTTTAAGACTTCAATGAACTGCCATTGGAAGTTGAAGATAGTAGTGGCTTTTACCAGGATGTTGCTGGTTTATGGGGGTCATGTTCCTTTTCAAGATGACTCAGGTGACCAGCAAACACATTCTCTGTGAGGTTTGATATTGGAAGAAGAGATACCTGAGTGTGGATTAAAGAGAAAAGATTCCAACCTGCCATTGTCAACAGCAACACTGGTTGTGTTTGACAGTGAGTGAATTCTTTCACTTCTACCAACATTTATTGAACTCTTACTGTATACATGGCATTCTGAAGCATACTGATAAGGAACAAAGAGCAAAGATCATTAAGATTCACCTCATCCCCCATGATGTTCAGTCCACTTTCTTCCCTATGACTGGTTTCTCCCTGTGCCCAACAAGAGGTTAGGAAGAGCTATCTCAGACTTTCTACCATGACCTTTTGCGATTCTATAATGCTTGAGTGTCAGGGTTTAAAGAGTAATTGTGATTATCTTCTTCTTGATTCTTCTGAGATAAAGTTATTTGCCAGGAATCCCAAATTGATGTCAGTTCCAAACAATGGCATGTATGCAATTCACAAAGCAATCTCTAATACATTTGCCTACTGGATCCTCACTTCAACCCTGCAAGGAAGTGTTCTTAGACTCCTTTACAAAGAAATAACGGAGCCTTAAAAGGACTAAATTATAAAAAAAAAAAAAAAAAGAAAGAAAGAATAAAAATAAAAGGACTAAACTATTTGCCCAGGTCACTGAGAAAGAAATTAGCTGGGTTAGGCCATAAATCCAGAGTTTCTATTTCTTTCTTTCTTTCTTTCTTTCTCTTTCTTTCTTTCTTTCTTTCTTTCTTTCTTTCTTTCTTTCTTTCT